AAAGTATAGTGGTGATTGATAACTCCGTTGAGAAGTTCCGGGGAAGCCTTTTATCTACCTTATAATAACATCAGAGAGGTCTGTAGTCTTGCCCATGCTGGGAATGTACTGCTTTTCACTCCTGCCTCTTAGAATCCTTTCTTTCCTTCCAAGCCAAGCTCAGGAGCTGCCTCCTCTTTGATGCCTTCCTCAACTCCCCTATTAGTACTCATTCTCTGAATTTATCTAGTCTTATTTTTACTCATTTGTAATGTATATCCTTCCTAGTAAAATACAGGCTCTTTAAAGGCAGTGATTATTTTGGTTTTGCCCTTCCCCACCTCCCCCAGTGCCTAGCAGAGTACCTTCTTGTGGGTCATTGTACAACTGTTCCCCCATTGAGGAACATCTGAGCTGCAAGGATTGGGGAGATCGTGGGTTCATAAATGTAGAGCTAGAAGGGACCTCAGACACCATATACTCCAGCCCCCCCATTTTACAAATGAGGAGACTTACAAATGATGCCCAAGGGCTGGAAGGCACTCAACCAAGCGAACACAGATAAGTTGTTCTTTCCCTTTCCCCCCTATTACAGAACAAGAATTGGAGGGCCTAGAAACAGTCAGTCCCTCTATTAAAGTAAAATTCATTGAAACTCTCAGTGTCTGTGAATGGGAAATGGATGGAAGACACATCAGGAGAAGACTACCTCCATAGCTGCCATTTGGAGAGCTGAGGGGGCCAGCCTAAGCAAGAAGACAGCTGATGTGACATTACTGTGGATAACTAGGCCACCAGAGCAGTGGAGAAGTCATGCAATCATTGGAGATGAAATGGCCTTTGGTTTGAATGAGGTCTTGGTGATGCTTGGAGAACAGAGACTGAGTCACTGGCCATCTTCAGTGTTCAATACTTGCAATGGTCCCAGCTGATGCAAAGCAGAATAATGGATGAAGCATTCCATCTGTGCTCCAAGCACAACAAGGTGCCATTCAGGGCAAGAACTATTCTCCCACCTTCCTTTTTAAGACCAGTTTTTCAGTTCTTGCCTTAGACAGCGTTGTTAAATGTTATATTTCCCAAAATAGGAAAAAAAAACAGGTTTCCCAGAAGGATGAAGGACTGGTTTCCTTGGAGGCAATGATCAAGAGGGGTAAAACATCAGAAATAGAGGGTTGGTTCTTTAAAAAATGCTTTGTCTCTTTCCTCCCTGTAAATCAGTTGGCCACAACTTCTTGGTTCCATAATAACAACATGATTAGGCATCCCACAAAGAGTACTCTAGGCTAGACCCTTAGCCTCTTACTTGTACTGTTAGGGTTAGTAAGTCAGGAGGACTTGGAGAATGATGCCAACTCCCAGCCAGATGAAAAGTGTCAGAGGAAGTAAGTCAGAGTTAATGGCTACTTCAGAAACCAGCAGACTATGGCAAGAGGTCAAACTCTATGAAATGACTCATGGAATATCGGGTTTCCCATTGTTGATAGTTCTAGGCAGGCTGTGTGGGACATGAAACCAATTCATTCTCATTCTCCCCCAACCGCTGGGTTGGACTAATCAAGATGACCTTTGGACAGCTGCTCAGGGACTTTCTGGGTGTCTGGCACTTTCCAGGAAAAGTGGCTTTACAAGCCTCTCTGACTAGCCACTAACCTGAATCCCAGGACCATAGGATCACAGATATATAGCTGCAGGTTGTCTAATTTAATGCTCTCAGTGTACTACTAAGGAAATTGAGGTCCAGAAAGATTAAATGATTTGTCCAAGGTTACTCAGCTTGTTAGTGGCAGAGTCAGGATTTAAATCCAGGTCCTTTGACACCAAATTCAGCTCTTTCTATTGCATCTCTGGAAGCCCCTTAAACACGACAAATTGACCTGGTGTGATGGCGGAGGTTGTTTGACCTTATTTGTCCTTCTTCCTTTGCATCATTCTTACTCTTCTCTTATAAAGTTCTTCAATTTTATAAACTCTCTCTGTCTTTCTCTGTCTCTCTGTCTCTCTCTCTCTGTCTTTCTGTCTGTCTGTCTGTCTCTCTCTCAACAAAATATCCTCATCTCCCCTATTTCCATTTCCCAATGTAAGCCAGCAAGTAGTGTATTTTTACTGGAAATAGTAGGGGGAAGAACTTGATATTGAGGAATCAGTAGAGCCTGGGATGGGTGGAAGGACCTGAGAGAAATCACCTAATCTTCTCTGGGCCAACCCCTAAAACCCTCCCCAATGAGGAAAACATAACCATCTTCCTATTTCTTTTGTAGCTCCACAAGGGAAGGTGCAATCTGCATTGGCAGATTCTTGGGGACTTGGGATGAAATGGCTCCTGTGAGATATAGAAATACATGACGAATATTGATAATGAGTGAGATAGTCATGGAGGGTGGCAGAAAGGTGTGATGGTCTTGTGCAGTTAGAATGGGAAGAACATAAGGATTTTAGGGAAATCAGTAGCCAAGAGCACATGGAGAGCTCTGGGTGTTTCATAGGGTGATAACTCCCTCTACGTATACTCATGACATCACTGGAACAAATATGAGCAGGAAAGGTGGTGGGTTGGTTATGTAGAATGAGTGAGGATAACAGATGGATAGCCTGAGGACAGCACTGGTATCCACAAAATATTAAAAGAATAAAAGGAAAGCTCCCAGCATGGGCATCGATCCTCTAATTAGGCTCTATAGTAAGACATGGCAAGCAATTATACAGAACAAAGTGCTAGGGTTGGGAAGAAAGGATGAAAGGATGCCCGCATAGATGAGAAGAAATTCTGAAGTCGAACCTTTCATGGCCTACACATGCTAATGGTGTAGGCTCTTTCAAGGGAAACACCAGAGAGTAAGATGATTTAAAGCTGGAGTTCATAACCTATTTTGTGTCATGCATCCCTGGTGAAGCCTATGGACCTTCTATTAAGGTTTTTAAATGCATAAAATAGAATATGTAGGATTAAGAAAAAATTATATTAAAATACAGTCAACAAAATTTTAAAATAAAAAACAAAAAAGCTCAGGGACTCCAGGTTAAAAGACCCCTCCCTGTAAAAGATACCAAAGATGCCTTCCTCACCCACCCCCATGTGCTCTTTCATCCAGTGACACTGGTCTTCTTGCTGTTCTTTGCACATGACACTCCATCACTGGACTTTGGATATTTTCACTGGCTGTCCCCCATGACTGGGATGCCCACTCTCCTTACCTCTACCTCCTAGTGTCCTTCTAGTCTCAGCTAAAGTCTCACTCTCAACAAGAAACCTTTCCTGATAGCCCTTAATTCTAGTGCCTTCTCTCTGTTATTTATCTCCTACTTATTTTAATGGTACACAGTTGTTTGCATGTGGTCTCCCCCATTAGACTGAACTCCTTGAGAGCAGAGACTGTCTTTTTCCTTTCCTTGTATCCCCACAGCTTAGTACAGCACCTGGCCAAAGGATTTTGGGCAGACTGAGAAAAATACAGAGGAAAACATCCTTTGTATGTAGAGGAAATTCTTTGGTGGGCCACAGGTTGTGCAGGACTGCTCTACGCTTTATTTTCCTCTCCTAGCTTTGCTTTCCTCATCTATAAAATGAGGCAGTTAGACTAATATATCTTTTTTAAAAAATTAATAAAGTATTTTATTTTCCCCATTACATGTTAAAACAATTTTTTAAACATTTTTTAAGTTTTGAGTTCCAAATTCTATCCTTCTTTCCCTCCTCCCTGAGACAGTAAGCAATCAGATATAGGTTATACACATGTAATCATTTAAAACATTTCCATATTGTTGTTTTGTACAAGAAGATGAAAGACAGAAAGGAAGAAAAGAAGGAAGAAAAGAGAAAAATAGCATGCTACATTCTTTATCAGACAATATCAGTTCTTTCTCTGGAGGCAGATAGCATGCTTTATCGTGAGTCCTTTGAGATTGTCTTGGATCATTGTATTGCTGAGAAGTTAAGTCGTTTACAATTCACTATGCAATATTGCTGTTACCATGTACACCGTTCTAGACCAATGTATCTTTAAGGACCCTTCTAGCTCTGAGAAGATCTGCGGACAGTAAAAGGTGCCCAGTTCATAGAGCCCGAGGACAGCAACTGGGCCTAATTCTGTTTTCCCAGCACTTAATGTATTGTGGGAAATCAGGAAACAGGAAGAATATCAGTGGCAAGTTAGGGATTCCACCTGTGAATACACTTTCTGCAAAGGAGAGGAGAATTCTAGACAGCAGAGGGAGCCCTTGGCCACGGTATTGCCCAGTCTTTCACATAGCCTCTACTTAAGTCACTCCCTTTCTATGTAGGTGGAAAATGTGGTATTATTTGAAGGCAACCAAACATCTTACTAGACCCAATTGTGTTCCACAGTGGAAAAAACCCTAGATTGGGAGTCTAGAGGCCTGGGTCCTAGTGCTAGGTCTAATCTTAGGTTTGTTAAAATTTGCTGGGTGACTTTAGAGAAGACCCTTAGGACCTCTTAGGGTGGTATGGTGGAGAGAATACTGGGCCTGGAGTCAGGAAGACTCATCTTCCTGAGTTCAAATCTGGCCTCAGACACTTACTGTGTGACCCTGGGCAAGTTACTTAAACTCTGTTTGCCTTAATCTACTAGAGAAGGAAATGACAAACTACTCCAGTATCTTTGCCAAGAAAACCCCGTGGACAGTATTAGCATGCTATAGTCCATGGGGTCATGAAGAGTTAGACACATCTGAATGACTGAACAATAACATGGTGTCCTATCCTAAGAACTCAGTAGTATTCTAAGAGACAGCTTGCTAGTTCCTTATACTCTGACACTTTTAACATCAGTAGGCTGTTTATTATTTTTGTATGTGGGTAGATCATCTATTGAAAACTCATGTTCATGAGTTCAAATCCAGCCTCAGACACCTAGTAGCTGTGTGACTCTGAGCAAGTCACTTAACCTTGTTTGCTTCAGTTTTCTCATCTGTAAAATGAACTAGAGAAGGAAATGACAAACCACTCCAGTGTCCCCACCAAGAAAACCTTAAATGGGGTCACAAAGAGTTTGACATGACTGAAAAATGACTGAACGACAACAAAAGACCAACTATGGAGAAAACCTAGAGAAAACAGTATGGCAGAGAGGAGAATGATTTACAGTGTCAGTCTGCAGAGTAGTCAAGAAGAATGAGGACTGAGAAAAGCTGATTGGATTTGGTAATTAAGAAATCATCGGTGACTTTGGATTTTAAGGTTCATATTAAGGTAATATAGTAGCATATAGATAAAGCTGTCAGGGACCTCGGAGATAATCTAATCCAATCTACTCATTTTACAAATGAGCAAACTGAGGTCCAGGGAGGTTAAATCACTTGACAAAGTTGACACAAGTACTGCACATCAGCAGATGTATTTGAACACTGGTCCTCCGCCTCCAGAGCCAGTGTGCTTTCTATTGTACCAGTCTTCTCCGAAGTGGATGAGTTCTCTGGGTGGATGGTTTTTATGTCATGAAGAATCAATACGGCATAACTGAATGAGTGCTGAACACTTTATGGGGGGCAAAAAATGCAAACAAAGTGAGTCCTTATTGTTTGGGGAATGGCAGAATAAATCATGAAATATACAGGCATACCTTATTTTACAGCACTTCCCAGATAGTGTGTGTGTGTGTGTGTGTGTGTGTGTGCGCGCGTGTGTGTGTGTGGTGGGGGGATTTGTTTTATTTTGTTTTGTTTTTACAAATTGAAGGTTTGTGGCGACCCTGCAAAGAGCACCATTTTTCCAATAGCACGTGCTCACATTGTGTCTCTCTGTCATTTTGGTAATTTACACAATATTTAAAACTTACTATTATTATTATTATTTATATCTGTCATGGCAATCTTTGATGTTACTGTTATAATTGTTTTGGGGCACCGCAAACCACACCCGTATAAGATGTTGTATGTGTTCTGACAACTCCACCAATTGCTCTCTCCCTCTCTTCAGGTCTCCCTATGTCCTGAGACACAACAATATGGAAAATGGGCCCAATAATAACCCTACAATGGCCTTTAAGTATTCAAGTGAAGTGGAGCGTCAATCGATGTAGCAAACTTCATTGTTGTCTTATTTTAAGAAGTTGTCACAGCCACCCCAACCCTCAACAATCACCATTCTGATCAGTCAGAAGCCATCAACATCAAGGCAAGACCTTCCACCAGCAAAAAGATTACAACTCGCTAAAGGCTCAGATGATGGTCAGTATTTTTTAGTAATAAAGTATTTTTTAATTAAGGTATATACTTTTTTGGACATATACAATTACACACTTAATAGACTACTGTATAGTGTAAGCATAATTTTTATGTGTATTGGGACACCAAAAATTTTTGTGTCTCATTTTATTGAACTATTTACTTTGTTGAGGTGGTCCAGAACTGAACTCACAATGTCCCCAAGATGTGCCTGCAATATAATGGAATCCATAAGAAACAATCAATATGAGGAATTCAGAGAAACATGTACAGACTTATATGAACTAATGCAGAGTGAAGTAAGCAGAAGCAAGAAGAAATAACATGCACAGAGACTATAATAGGGCAAACAACGCCACCCCCCCATGAAATCAAAGTCAATTATCATGATTGATATTGGTTATGGAGAAGAGATAAGGAAATGTACCTCCTTTCTTTCACTGGAGAGCTAAGTAAGGAATGTCACCCCTTTTAGGAAGCATGGCTCATTGGTTTAATGGGGATCTCCAAAGTCCACTTGATAAAACTGCAGGATATAAGATGCAAGAAACAGAGTTGCTGAGGCATAAGGCTTTCCCCTTTCAGAATTCAAGTTGCTGCATTGACAGGAACTAAAGGACAAGACCTTAAACCTCATTATCTCTGTTATCTATCCCTTATAGCCAGTAAGAAAGGTTCATCAAGTGGATTGGGGGGACTCAATTCATCAGGGGTCCCCTGATAAATCCCTGGCTACACAAGAAAAGGCATGTCATGGAGAAGAGGGAGGAGGAGACTATCTGGAAATGACTATGAGATTGAAACAGAAGATGTCAAATCACTAAAGCATACTTTGTCTCTTTATCTGTATATATATTATCTATATAGTATATGTTATATGTATACATATAGTATACATATACTGTTGTATATGTATATGTATACATATATAGAATTGTGTACATAGAAAAGAAAGAACATATAATAACATATAATACTGTATAATAACATTTATGTGTATTGTTGTTTGTCCTTCGTTTTCAAAAAGGACCAATGACATCACAGAGTGATGTCTTGACTTGTGCATGAACTGAATTTAAGTGAGGCAGAGTTGCACAAAGTCCCCAGTCTCATTTTCTCTTCCACAATCATTGAAGTCCAGTGGCAAGATAAAAATTAGGACAACGAGCGACAGCCCAGGATGCAGTGGATGACATTGGCACCTTTGTCGTCTGACCAAGCTCTAAGTGCTCCACAGCACCTGGTTCAGCCACCTTCATTGCTGTTGAAGCAAACTGTTCTCATCTGCCCATTCCAGTGGGGTAAATCTTCACACACTTGGGGTAGACACCTCCCAACTCACGGAGAGATTTGTGGCCTGTCTGTTGCCCTCAATCTGATTGAGCCCATCTGTCAAGATGGCTTACCGGGGTGTGGCCTGCACATGCTACAGCTTCTTGGAGCCACAGCTAAGAGTTGAATGCCAGGTGGACAATAAGGTGGATGAGCAGCCCTGAAAAGGGCTTGGCAAGCCCTCACACCAGGGGTGCTAGAACTCCTCGAACACTCATCCACTCCCCCCCACATACATGTGTGTATATACACATGTGCTTTCATACATGCAAGTGTGTATGAACATACATGTACATATATGTATATAGTTTACACACAAAATATACATATATATGTAATGTGTATATATGTGTATAGATATGTATAGATGTGTGTATATGTGTATATACATCCATACCCACCCCAAATATATATGTGTATATATGTATGTGTATATATATATGAATAATAGATCTAGAGTAGAAAGCCCTGACTCCCAAATGTATATCTGCCACTGACTGTGTGATCACTGTCAAGTTGCTTCACTACTTATTTAAGAACCTCAGTTTCCTCATCTGTAAAATGGATTCAATTTGCACCACTTACTGTGAAGGGTCATTGCGTAGAAAAAAGCTTTGCAAACCTTAAAGTGCTATACAAATGTGAGCTTGCTATTATCTTCATAGTCAAGACCAGTTCTGAGCAAAATCAAGGAATCATTAGAGTGGTTTTTTGGTGCCTTCAACTCTTGTTTCTATGCCTTTTTTTTTTTCAACATCTTGGTGGCATTCCCTACCCCATCTCCTGCTTGTCTCAAAGTACCCTAAAGCTCTCTCTTTCTGTCTGCCTTCCAAATAGACTAGGAAAGTTTCAGGAGTTCTCTCATGAAGGGGTAGGGGAAATACTTAGAAATAACTTTGTAAAAACAAAAGATATCACTTTTTTTTAAACCCCTGGTTAAAGCCCACTAGTATGGGACTCTTTCTTTTTTGGTGGTGAAGCCCCTGCTATATGTGAGGGACAGGGATGAGTTACTAAAAAGCAAGAGAGATCCAGTCTTCATGAGTCCCCTTCAAATTCCCCTTTGGTACTCTTCAAGGATGGAGTTGCTTTGAATGCTTCTGTCTTCCAACCTTGAGAGAGAGGATGGAAGAGGCTAATCCTGCTTCAGGTTGTTAAAGGAAAAGTCTCTGGGAAGACAAAATAGGAGCAGGCAGTCTCCATCATGGCCCTATTCTCAGCTTACTACACTACAGACTCCAGGGAATTTCCCTTTAGGTGAGCTTCAGGACACTCTTTGTTGAGCTGAGTTATTTAACTCCCAATGGGAGAGTACCTTCACTTTGTACTGTCTGTTTTTGCTACCAGTTTGAACAAAAAAGTTTTCTTTGCTATTTCGCTATGTGGATTTGTTGTGGAACTGGTATGTGATGAGAAAGGGGTCAAACCTTGGATGTAGATCTTGGGGTCCTCCTTCTCCCCCAAAATGACAAAGTGATCAGAAGTTCGATGGAACCTGATCATGTCCCCTAAATTAATATTTAAGGGGGGCTGATATATATACACTTCTAGCGTGGTACCCTCTCTCTTTCTGGGGAGAGTAGAGTGGTAGTCTCAGGCCCAACTTCTTGCTTTCCCTTCCTGGCAAGAACTAACACCTCTCCTGGAGAAGGGCTGAGGGGAGAAGAGGCTAGAGATGTTTATTCTGCTTCCTTTCAAGCCACACAATGGTAGCCCTTGCCTCTCCTCTATGTGTGGGGCTCTTCTCTACATTTTAAAAAATTCATTAAGCCACAACTTCCTACTCTGTAGTTTCTGCATCCTAGGTCACCCACCCTTTGCCACCCCCCTTCCTCTTCCTATCACTTCCTTCCCTACCCCAGCAACTGAACCAGTTCTTCCCCAAACAAATTAGGTAAAGCTAAGGAAATTGATGATCTGAAGTATTGTCCCAGGCAAAATCTAGTCTTATCATTGCTCCTTTTTCTCTCTCTGAAGGTGTTCAGTCAGTTAATGTATTGTTGCATTATTCCTGCCCAGAAGGGTAGGGCTCAATCCACAGCAGCCTTGGCCTTCCTCAGTTCAGCCTTCCCTCAAGCAGTCACTATTCCTGGACCACTAGCTCCTGATGAACTATCCAGTCCCTCAGCACCATCTTCTATGGCCCTGCTGCCTAGATCACCTTGGCACTGTCCTCTCCAACACTGGGTCCTGCCTTATACCAAAGTCATCCCACTCTTCATTCCCCTCTTTTCTCCTCCACCCAGTCATATTAGCTGTACTCCTAACACTAACTTTCCTTGCCTGTGTTGACCTTTCTTTACCATGCTCTGGGTAGTTTTCAACCATTCTTGACTGGAGACAGGTCTGGAGGCTACTTCCTTATAGCCTTAAATAGCCTGGAGGCTTGCCAACTGTCCTCTCAGGGCCCATAGATGCTGTCTTCTTTCTTATTAGGACCTATTATATCTCCCGAGACCAGACAAAGAGGATCTGAAACTCATTGGCACTGGAATAAATGAGTGATAATATCATGTATTCCAAGAAGACCCAAAGCCTCAAGCTAAAGGGATGACAAAGGTGGGGTTTCAGGCTTTAGTCACAGGATTATGGATGATTTGTGGAGTGGGTACAGTACTTCCCCTGAAATCACATGCTATGGAATCAATTTCATCATTTTCATCCCTGAAGTTTTATGTTTTTACAAGAGTCCAATTGTTATAACTTGTCATCTATGAAATATATCTAGGAGTACACTGGAGGTTATCAAAATACCATAACAGGGAATCTCAAAATTGGAATCTCATTAACTTTTTGGAAGCACACATAACCACCCACTCATACACTTTTAAAGTTTAATCTGCATTATTAATGTTTTCTCCATCACTTTTGTAAGTCTAGGAAATCAGCAAAACAATAAATCGAGACCTAATTCATAGAGTTTGTTAGCTTCAGAAACTTATTACCTGTGTGACTCTGAGCAAGTTACCTAGCCTTTGTCTATCTCAGTTTCCTCCACTGTGCAAAAAGAAATAATGATTGCATCTACCCCACAGAGTTGTTATGAGGATCAAATGAGATAACATTTGTAAAAGTGCCTAGAACGGTGCCTGGCATGTGTGGGTTGTTGTTGGAGGGTTGTTTTTTGGGGGGTTTTTTTGTTTTTGTTTTTGTTTTGTTGTTGCTGGTTTGGTTTTTTTTGGTGAGGCAATTGGGGTTAAGTGACTTGTCCAAAGTCACACAGCTAGTGAGTGTTATATGTCTGAGGCCAGATTTGAACTCAGGTGCTCCTGACTCCAGGGCCAGTGCTCTATCCACCGCGCCACCTAGCTGCCCCTATGTGTTGTTATTGAGTCTTTTCAATTATGTCCAACTCTTCCTGACCCCATTTGGGGTTTTCTTGGCAAAGATACTAGAATGGTTTGCCATTTCCTTCTCCAGCTCATTTTACATATAAAGAAACTGAGGCAAACAGGGTTAAGTAACTTGCACACAGCTATTAAGTGTCTGAGGCTAGATTTGAACGTAGGAAGATGAGTCTTCCTGACTCCAGGTTTGGCACTCTGTCCATGGTGCCACTTATTTATAAAGATAAATTCATTTTCTTTCCACCCAAACCCTCCTCTCTGCCAAACTTAACTCCTTCCATTTTTTCCAGTCTCTTAGGTTGTAACTGTGGTATTTTTTAAACTACTCCTCCCTCTCCCTATATCCAACTAATCACTACATCCTGCTGTTTCTACCTCCACAGCATCTCTCATTTCTGATCTCCTCTCTCTACTCACAGGGTTACCACCTTGGTTCAGGACCTTTTTATCTCTTGCCTAGATGACTTCCCAATTGGGTTCCTTGCCTTAAGTCTCTCCCCACTCCAATCCATCCTCCACACAGCTGCCAAAGTGATAAAGTGATCTTCTGTGAGCACAGATATGACAATGCCCCTCTCTTAATAAGTTCTAGTGGTTCCCTATTGACTCTAGGGTAATACCAAACAGGCTTGGCCTTCTCAGATCTGGAAAGGAACTCTAAAGGCCCTTCCAGATCTAAAACTATGACTCTATTATTGAATGATAACTATTATGATTGAAGGAGGAACTTAGTTTTCTTTTCTCATTTTCTCCCAGTGCCTAGCACATTGGGAAGAACTTAGTAAGTATTTGTGAATATTTCTAAATATTTGTGAAAGAATAAGAATGAAAAGGAAGGGAAGGGAGGGCATAGATAGGCAGAAAATGAGGAAAGAACACTTCAGGGAGAAAGACTAGCTTAGGCAAAGTTGTAGAGATTAGTCTGACAAAAGCAGAGGTTTTATATTGGGGATAAATAGGGATAAAGCTGAAGAGGTAGATTGGATCCAGACTTTCCTCACTGAGGATTTTGTCCTATATGTAATGGAACCACTGAAGGTTTTTTTGAGGAGTTAGTAGTGAATATTGTTTGGGGGAGATTAACCCAATATTAGTGTATAGGGTGGATTGGAGGAGGAAGTGATTGGAGAGGCAAAAAGACCATTTAGGAGGCTATTACAATAAAACCGGCATGGGGCAATTAGATGCTGAACTAGGGTAAGAACAGTGAAAAAGAGAGGGAAGATAAGATATCTGTGGTGAAAGACTAGTTGAGACTATGAGGTCTGGAAGAAACAGTCATCCACAATGACTAAAAATCTGAGGCCTGAGGTTACTGAACAAATGATGACAGATTGGCAGAAATCAAGAAGAGAGGATAGCTCTGTGTGCAAAGATGATTAATTCAGTATGTACCAAAGTTCAATAAAGAGAAGTCACCAACCTGGCTTACTCCAAGGTCCAAAGCAAAATAGAAGAGCAGAAGCAGAGAGGCCAATCAAAATGAACTGGGTCACAATCAGTCCAAGGGCCAAGCGACCAATATTTTCACTTGAGTTGGCTTGGGAGGAGAGATCTCTACCTGAAGGATTAGAGTAGATAAATTTGGGGATGATGCTGTTGCCCCAGCTGGTGGCACTAGAGATAATAGAGTCAACCTAGCCTAATTTACTCCCGGGTGTAGCTTTGAGTTTATGTATGCAAACTGATGACTCCAAAAAAAAATACAGTATTGATATAGACCCTGTGAGGGTGTCAAAAGAAGGTGCCACCACATCCCACACTGCAGCCTGAGAATAAGGAAAGGAATTTTGAGAAACTGTCAGATTAGCAGACATAAAACAGTGACCCAGGGCAGGCTCAATTTGGAATAACTATTCTGTATCTTTCTGGTTTCTATAATCCCTTTGGTCACTAATTCATTTAATAGACAATTATTAGGTACCTGCTGTGTGCAAATAACTTTCTAGCTTTAACAGACATATTTCCTCAGAGATGGCTGATAATTTTTAATTAACATTTCCCTGGATATCTATTAGAGAAATAACACTCAATTTAAAAAATCTTTCTTTTCTTTCACAGGGTTATCACCCTGGATAGCTGAGCTCTCCCCTTGTCCCCTTGGAACAATCTGTAGGGGCCCTTTCCTGATGGACAAAGGTTAGCTGAGACAAATGGGGGTGGAACTCACTTCTCACAGTGACTTTAGCCGTCAGGCTGCTGATGTTGTTGATGCCATTGTTAGCAGTACAATAATACTCCCCTGCATCAGTCTCATTCATAACAGAGAGCACAAACTTCTCCTTCAGAGAATGTCGAGTCTTCTCTCCCAGACTTGCCTTAATGCCCACTCTGTGCCAGGAGAATGTGATGTTCCCTGTGCCCCGAGCTATTGAGCAGATGAGGACCAGCTTCTCTCCTTCAGTCACCTGCCCCCCAGAAGGCTGGGTCTCCATGAGGATGCCAGAGATGGGGATTCCTGGGTGAACACAAAGTGATACATGAGGGCCCCCCTGACTTTGGGGGATGTCAGAGGTGGCAGGGAAAGCTGTACCCAACTTGTACATGTCTGTACAATGGGAATTTAGGGAAATATTTAGTAAAGAAAGAGAAAATGGGTCCTTGGTATATTAAAACTAAACATGTGGAATTATCCTGACTATATTAATAGGGAGGAGTCATCTTTTCCCAGTTTAACACAGCGTCAATTCCCCACCCATAGGCTTCTGAACCACAGCTTTGTCTTTGGGCCATTCCAAGGCAGGACCTAGAGGGGAATTAAGACATTTGAGTGATGCCTCACTGGGTAGACTTTTTTTGTCAGATAGAATGGAGAGGCTACTGAGAAGTGTCAGCTCTATCCTAAAGTGGCATTGTTCAAGTTACTCTGACCACATTTGCCTTCAAGGCCCAGATGAAAACCTTCTTTTATTCCTTTGGTCCATAATTATCTCTCTTCTATCACCTCCTCTTCTAGAATTAGATGATGAATACAGTTCAACATTAACCTGTTCTCTGATTGTTTCCTGGAAATGTCTTGTATCTCCTAATGCCATTGTCAGCTCCTTGCATTCAGAAGCCATGCCTGAAGCTTCTTTGTATATACCATTTCCTCCTGCCCCCACCCAAGAGAGTGATATTGGCAAATGTTCAATAAATACTTTTTTTGGAAGTGACTGGATTGGCATGAAGAACAGTGGTATAGGGTTATAAAAATAATATTAACTAATTCTGCAATTCTGGGACTCCTGTGTTCATTTTAATCTTGATGATACAAGATTCAAGAGAAGCATAAAAAGGTAAACATAAAATAGAAATCATAAGGGACTTAATAAAGTTAAACTGTTTACATTCCTATATAGGAAGATGATATATACATTTCCTAAGACTTTTATCATTATTAGGGTAGTTAGAAAGAGTCTACATAGACAGAGGGCATAGGTGTGAGTCAATTACATCAGATTTATCTTAAAAAATAGAGAAGTGAGGAAGAGGGATGCACTAGGAAAAGTAAAAAGGGAGAGGAAGAATGGAGAAAATTATTTCACATAGAAGAAGACTGCAAGGAAGAGGTTTTTGTGTTTTTGTGTTTTTGTTTTTTTTTACAGTGGAAGGGAAAATGGGGGTGGAGTGGGAACAGGCAATGCTTGAACCTGACTCTCGCTGGAACTGGTTCAAAGAGGGAAGAATATGTATGCACACTGATTTAGGTATAGAATTACATTTTCCCTAACAGAGAAGTAGGAGAGGAAGAGACTAAGAGGAAGTAGGGGAAGGGAGATGATAAGAGGAAAGGTAGATCAAAGGAAGTGGCAGTCAGAAGCAATCCAAACCTTTGAGGAAGGATGGGGTTGAAAAAGAGAAGAGAGAGAAAGATAAACAGAAGAAAATAGGATGGAAGGAAATACACAGTTAGTAATCCTAACTGTGAATGTGAAAGGTATGAACTCACCCATAAAATAGAAGCAGATAGCAGAATGGATTAGAAACCAGAGTCTTACAATATGGTGTCTACACATGATACAATTGAAATGGAAAGACGTGCATATAGAGTTAAAATAAGGGGTTGAAGCAGAATCTATTATGCTTAAACTGAAGTAAAATGGCAGGGGTAGCAATCATGATCTCAGACAAAGCAAAAGCAAAAGTAGACTAAAAGAGATAACCAGGGAAATGACATTTTGCTAAAAAGGTACCAGAGACAATGGAGTAGTATCAATACTAAAAATATATACAATAAATGGCATAGCAAGTTATAAGTTACAGGAAAAAATAGACAGTAAAGCTATACTAATGGGAGACCTCAATTTATTCTTCTCAGAACTAGATAAATCTCAACATAAAATAAATAAGAACAAAGTTAAGGAGATGAATAGAATTTTAGAAAAGGTGGAGATGACAGACCTCTGGAGAAAATTGAATAGGAAAAGAAAGGAATATATGTTTCTTCTCAGCTGTATATGGCACCTTCACAAAAATTGACCAGGTATTAGGTCATAACAACCTCACAAACAAATGCATAAAGGCAGAAATATTAAACATACCCTTTTGGGACCATTATGCAATAAAAATTACATTCAGGAAAGGATCTTGGATGCATAGATTAAAAATTAATCAGAAACAAAATAATCTAATCCTAAGGAATGAATGGGTCAAAGAACAAATGATAGAAACAACTAACAATTTCATTAAAGAGAATGAAAACAATGAGGCAACATGACAAAATTTATGGGATGTAGCCAATACTAGGGAAAAATTTATATCTCTGAGTGTTTACATCAATAAAAGAGAGAAAAAACACACCAATGAATTGGACATGCAACTAAAAAAAAGGACTAGAAAAAGAACAAATTTTAAATGCCCAATTTAGCACTAAAATAGAAACCTTGAAAATCAGAAATTAATAAAATTGAAAATTAAAAATTGAACTAATAAAACTAGGATCTGGCTTTATGAAAAAGCCAATGATTTTTAAAAAAGAAAACCAAATTATTTAGTATCAAAAATGAAAAGAGCAAATGAACCACTAATAAAAATGAAATTAAAGCAATTATGAGGAGTTATTTTGCTCAATTATACACCAATAAAACTGTCAATCTAAGTGAAATGTATGAATATTTACAAAAAAGTTAATTGCCCAGATTAATAGAAGAAGAAAGAGAATAAGTAAATAACTCTATCTTAGAAAGAGAAATTGAACAAGCCATAAATGATCTCCCTAAGAAAAAAAAAATCCAGGACCAGATGGATTTGCAAGCGAATTCCACCAAACATTTAAGGAACAATGAATTCCAACACTATATAACCTACTTGAAAAATTAGGCAAAGAATTACTACTGAATTACTTATGTGACACAAATATGGTGCTGACACCTAAACCAGGAAAAGCAAAAACAGAAAAAGAAAGCTATAGACCAATTTCCTTAATGAATATTGAAAATAAAAATTTTAAATAAATAGAGAGACTACAAAGAGACTACAGCAATATATCACAAAGATCATAAACAATGACCAGGTGGTTTTTATAGAAGGAATACAGGGCTGGCTCAACATTAGGAAAACTATCAGCATAACTGACATATCAATTACAAAAATAACAAAACTTCTATGATTATTACAATAGATGCATGAAAAGCTTTTGACAAAATACAGCACCTATTCTTATTAAAATCCTAGCTAGCATAGGAATAAATGGAGTTTTCCTTAAAATGTTAAGTATTATCTATCTAAAACAAAGAACATTATCTGTAATGTGGCTACATAAGAAGCCTTCCCAATAAGATCAGGGGTGAAACAAAGACTATCACAATTATTATTCCATATTGTACTAGAAATGCTAGCTATTGCAATAAGACAAGAAAAAGAAATTGAAGGACTAAGAATAGGCAACCAGGAAATAAAACTATCACTTTTTGCAGATGATATGATGGTATACTTAAAGAGCCTTGGAGAAGCAATTTAAAAAAGGAGTTGAAACAATTAACAACTTTAGCAAAGTTGCAGGATATAAAATAAACCCACATAAATCATCAGTGTTTGTATATATTACCAATAAAACCCAGGAGGAAAAGATAGAAAAAGAAACTCCATTTAAAATAACTGCAAATAGTACAAATATATATATATATATATAATATGATATATGATAATAGAATATATAAAATATAGTATAAAATAAAAAATAAAACCCTGTAAGAGTAGAAAGTCCATCTGTCAAGACATCCAGGAACACAATTACAAAATATTTTCACACATATAAATCAGATCTGAACAGTTGGAGAAATATTAATTCTTCACAGATAGGCTGAGGCAATAGAATAAGAATGGCAATTCTACCTAAATTAATTTACTTATTAAGTGCTACACTAGCTAAACTACCAAACAATTCTATTATAGAGCCAGAAACAAATAAAAATAAAATTTATCTAGAGAACAAAAGGTCAAGAATGTCAAGGGAATCAATGGAAAAAAAAAACACGTGGAGGAAGGAAGTCTAGCAGTACCAGATTTCAAACTGTTACCAAATTGTAATCATCAAAATAAATTGTTGCTGGCTAAGAAATAGAGTGGTGGATCAGTGGAATAGATTAGGTACACAAACCATAGAAGTAAATGACCATAGATTCTAGTGTTTGATAAACCCAAAGATCCAAGCTTTTGGGGCAAGAACTCACTATATAACAAAAATTTCTGGGAAATTTGGAAAGCAGTCTGACAGAAACTAGGCATAGAACAACATCAAACATCATATACCAATATAAAGTCAAAATAGGTAAATGATTTAGACATAAATGATGATATCATAAGCAAATAGAGAAGCATGGAAAAATTACCTGTCAGGTCTATGGATAAGGGAAGATTTTATCTCCAAATAAAAGACAGAGAGGATTATGGGAAGTTAAATAGATAATTTTGATTACATGAAATTAAAAAAATTTTAACGCAGCCAAAATTATAAGAAAAGCAAGAAATGGGGGAAGGGAATTTATAGCAAATTTCTCTTATGAAGGTTTCATTTTTCAAATATATAGGAGACTGAATCAAATTTATAAAAGAGCAATTCCCCAATTTATCAGTTACCAAAGGATATGAATAGGCAGTTTTCAGTGGAAGAAATAAAAAAAACTATCAATAGTCACATTAAAAAAAGTTCTAAATCACTAAGAATTAGAGAAATGCAAATTAAAACAACTCAGAGATACTACTCACACTTATCACATCAGCTAACACAACAGAAATGGAAATGATAAATGCTAGAGATGATGTGGAAAAGCAAGACCAATTATCCACTGTTGGTAGAGTTATGAACAAGTCTAACAGTTCTGGAGAAACATATATATATATATAATATGTATGTATATGTATATTTGGAACTATACCCTAAGGGGTATAAAACCATGCATACCCTTTGACCTAGCAATACTATACAGTATGTATCCCAAAGACATCAAAGAAAAAGGGAAAGGACATACATATATATGTGTATGTATATGTATATATGTATATATGTCTGTGTATGTATATATACACACATATACACACATATGTGTGTGTGTATATATACGTATATACACATGTGCATATATATACATAAATATACACACATATACATCTATGTATATTTTTATTTATTTGTAGCACTTTTTTGTGATGGCAAGGAATTGGAAATTGAGGGGTGCCCATCAGTTGGGAAATGGCTGAATAAGTTGTGGTATATGATTATGATGGAATACTGTTGTGATATAAGAAATGACAAGAGGAATGATTTTAGGAAAAACCTAACATGAACTGATACAAATGGCAGTGAGAAGAATCAGGAGGACATCATATACAGTTACAGCAATATTGTAATGATGATCACTTGTGAAAGACTTAGCTATTCTGACTAGACAATGATCCATAGCAATTCCAAAGGACTTATAGTGAAAAATGCTATCAACCTCCAGAGAGAGAACTAATGAACTATGAGCATAGCCTGAAGCATATTTTTTTATTTTCTTTTATTTTGCTTGCTTTGTTTTTGCAATATGGTTGATATGGAGATATATTTTGCATAATTTTACACGTATTATGGATATAGTATTTCTTTTCTTCTCAATTGGTGGGGAAGGGGCTGGAGGGAGGGAAAGAATTTAAAAGTCAAAATTTTGAAAAAATACTGTTAAAATTAATTTGAGGGTGCTTACTTAGAATAGAATTCACACCACTTGCTTAGAGCAAATTTCTGTTGCTTGACCCCCAGCAAGTTACTTACAACTCTATCAATATCCTAATGCAAGAGAAGACCCACAGGAAAGCTAGCTGGCTGTCTCCAATACCACTTTGATTCCCAGAGGAAGAGGAAAAGCACATTACAAAGTATCCCAATGTCTAACCTAATGCCAATGCCCTTCCCTAACTTCTCAATCCCAGCCCTGTATTACTGACACTCACTTTTCACACTGATCTTCACATGGTTGCTCTGTTTCCAAATATTCTGAGTCATTGCTTTCGCCTCACACCAGTATGACCCTGAGTCTTTCCTCCAGATGACTGGGATCTGGAGCACCTGAGACTTCTTCCAGCCTGACATGATGACTCTGTTATTTCTGAAGAAGGAGAAGTGCAGCTCTATGTCTGACCTCTGTGGAGGAAGCTGGGTCTCACAGCTCAGGGTCATTGGGGTTCCCTCTGTGGGGTGGGAGGTTGTGGTTTTCAGCTCAGGAGATGGAAACAGTTCTAGAGAGAGGAGACAAACACAATGCCCTGGATAGTGAGTGTCAGAGCTCCTGGGGTGACATGTCTTGTGTTCTCAGATGAACAGATAAAAGGACACATGGATGATTCCATCTCATTTCCCTTCTATGCTCCAGCCATGAGCTCTCCCTTCTGTTATGTGCCTACCCAGCCCTCCACGCATAGACCTTGATCCTGAATAGCCCTTCCCCTTCCTCTTTCTGCCCCCCAAGATTGAAGCTCATACCTTGGACTTGGAGGTTTACTTTTCTCGAACTTCTTTTCTGAGCAAAAAAAGTACCCCTAAAAACTCCTGTGCAGTGATATTTGCCACTGTAACTTAAGCCAACTCGTGGGATGGAGAAATTAGAGTATTTAAGGAAATAAGAAGATATCCTTCCATTCTTATAGTATGTCACATTTGTGGCGGTCTCAACATGATCACGTCCTTGGCATCTCAGGACCAATGTGTCTCCTTCAAATACAGAATATGGGACCTGCAGGATCAACAGATCTGTAAGAGAACCCAGAAGACCTTGGAGACTCAACTCCCATCTTTGTGCCCTGTCCTCCTTCCGATTGTTTCTAAAGGGACATGCACCTGGAGATTATCTGGTGTATCTCAGATAAATCCCAACATATCTGCTTGGGGAAGGGAGTCCCATCCTTTACTGTACTACTCTCAGTGGTCAAGGTTAGCCCCTAGCTGCCAGGGGATCTCAGGGTACCCAACTGCTTTCTAAATCACTGAAGGGGAGTAGTGAAGGTTGTTACCCTCAGCTCTGCTGCTGTCCCAGTGATATCATGTGGCATTCTAGAGCCCCCAGTGCTCTCCTCTTGTCCCTCCCTCCCTGTGGGAGACTGCACTTAGAATGCCCTGAGGCTTGGTGAGGCTCTCTGTCCTCACCAGAAGAAACTACCAGGTTCACAGGGTCACTGAGGGCTGAGTCCTGGGTCTGGCATCTGTATTCTCCAGTCTGATTAGTCTCAATGCTGTTTGTAGACCAACTGTCTCGCAATTGTTGGTTTTCATACCACCATGTTGTCCCTGGTTTGGAGGAGTTGAATCCATGGCAAGTCAGAGTCACTTTCTCCCCTTTGAAGATAGTGGTCCATGGAGGGCTGAGATGTACCACGGCTTTCTTTGAAATGGCTGGGTGGGAGAAAAAGAACAGCAGAAGATGAAGGTGCCTGTACACAATTCCTGGAGTAGAGGAGAGGTAGGAGAGAAGCAGGGAAGTCCTGGCCCCACACTACCGTGGGATGAAACCCTGAAGCTTAGGGTTCCAGATTTAGGTCCCCTGTCTCTGGCTCCCAACACATACACAGTCCACTTACCAGCTTGAAATCTAATAAAAACCAGAGACTAGCACCTTGGCTTCCTGAAATGCTGAGCCTCCATCTGATTCCAGTCCAAACTGACAGGAGAGGTTAGATATTGAATAAAGATTGGTTGGGGGGAGGAGAAATCAAAAGTGCCAGAATGAACCCAGGAGATCAGGACTTGTGTTGCTTAAATGGCAAGCCAGATCCCCAGGAGACTGGGTTGGTTCTGAAGCCTCCTTGGAAACTGACATCCAATCAAATTAGACACTCAAGATGTAGTTTATTTCCACTTGAGTGTTTCCAATGCTATCTGTACATGTTATCATATTTCATCCTCACATATGTGAAAGAGACAGTGTGATTGTTATTATCACCATTTTACAGATGAGAAAATTTGGCTCAGAGGTGAAGTGACTGGTCTAAGGTCACACTGGTAGGTAGTGTCAGAGCCTAGACTTGAGCCCATGTCTCTTGATCCATACTCTTTCCATTGCACCATTTTCAGAGGACCTAAGTTTGAATTCTGGTTTGAAGCTGTGTAATTCTGGACACAAGATTTCACCTAATTGGGCCTCAGTTCCCTTTTCTGTAAAATGAGGAGGTTAAAATAGATCATCTGCAAAGTCTTTTCCTGCTCTAAAATATAAGAGCTTATGATTTAAAGGATGGTCCTTTTTGCATCGGGATGCCCAGGGTCAGCTCCCAAATCCTCAAAATAGCAAATAATTATCAGTGTTCACATCTGGTGGGCAGAAGAATCCTGAACAAAAACCACTGTGGGACTCAGAGCAGCCTGAGCCTGACCCATGGGATCAGTCAGGGAAGAGAGTTGTGGCACCGCAGACCTCAGGCAAGAGGTGCAGGGCAGGCAGGGCCACCTCAGGCAGACCTCTGTGGACATCCGGTGATGCTGAAGGAGACTGCATTACCCAGAGACCCCAGAGAGCAAAGAAAAAGGTAACTCACAAGCTTGTGCGCTGACCAAACCTGAGGAAGAGATAAGAGCCAGAGGTTAAACTGAGTGGAGAGTCCCAAAACTTTTCAACTTTTCCAGCTTCTCAGAAATTCTTCAGATCCTTCTAAGATATTATCTATTTTCTTCAATTCTTTTGCAACACTTGACCTAAAAGATCAAGTCTCTTTTTAAAAAAGTCTTCACAACCTGGCCCCAACCAATCTTTCCAGCCTCACCATATGTTATGCTGTTTCCTAGGCTTTGTGAGCCTGCTAAAACGTTAGTCCATATGTTCTTTCCCCATGCACTGTATCTCTGGACTCTCTCCTTTGCATTGTCTGTCCCCTATGCTTGCATTTCATGTCCTCTTCACATCCACTCATAAAATCCCTGTCTTCCTAATGATTCACCTCAAGAACCCACCTTCAGCATGACACCTTTCCCAATCCCTCAAGTACTACTGCCCTCCCTCATAATATCAAGAGAGGCAAACAATGAAATTCTATTATATTCAAAGGATCCATAGACAATTAACTACTATCAATACTAAACATATAAGTACAAATGGCATAGCATCTAAATATATAAATGAAAAGTTAACTGAATTGCAAAAAGATATATACACTAAAACTATATTATAGGATACTTTTTTATCTTTTTCTTTCTTTATTTTTTTATTCATTTTTAAAATTAATTAATTTATTTTTAGTTTTCAACATTCACTTTCATAAGCTTTTGAGTTTTAAATTTTCTCCCCCTACCTCCCTTTTTCCCTCCCCACGATGGTGTGCAATCTGATATAGGCTTTACATGTATATTTCATATTTTCACATTAGTCATGTTGTAAAGAAGAACCAGAACCAATAGGAGGAACCAGGAGAAAGAAGAAACAAAACAAAACAGAAGAAGGACAGAAAAAAGGGCAAATAGTATGCTTTGATCTGCATTCAGACTCTATAGTTCTCTCTATGGATGAGGACAGCATTTTCCATCATGAATCCCTTGGAGATGTCTTATATCCATAGGAGACTTTCATACTTCTTTCTCAGGGCAGGACAAATCAAAGAGAAAGATAAACAACACAGACTAGATAGTGCTGAAAATACAATTGGATAACCTAGAGCTGAAAAACTTATGGTATAATTAAAGGGAAATATATTTCTCAGTACTATCTGTTGCCTTTATGAAAAAAAAAAACTATATGCCAGGAAATATTCTAGTGCCTCCCTCACAATTTAATGGAGAATACAACAGACAAATAATTGCATGCTGATAAGCTAGAGATACGCTCCATAAGAAACAATCAACAGAGGGAGGCACTAGAATTAAGAAGGATTAGGATAAGATTCATGTAGAAGACAAGATTTTAGATAGCCAGGAAGCCAAGGAAACAAGCATAGGAGTCACAAGTGAGGAGGGAGAGCATGCCAATCATGGGGGACAGCCAGGGGAAATGCCAAGCATTAGGAGACATGGTGTCTTGTTTGAAGAACAGCAAGAAAGCCAAAGTCACTGTATCAAAGAGCAAGTGGGATTTGGCTTGGGGTGCGAATGACACATAAAGGGTAAGGAGAATGGATGTGTATGTGTGTGTGGTTAGGAAGGGCTTTCAACAACAACAACATATACTAAAATAAAGTGGAGTGAGCAAAAACAGGACACAATTTATGGAAGTACAGAAACATTGTAAAGAAAAACAACATTGAAAGACGTAAGAATTCTGATCAATGCAATGACCAACCATATCTCCAAAGGAAATGATGAAATATGCTACCATCCTCCTGACAGAGATGGCAGACAAAAGGTACAGAGAGAGAAGTGCATTTTGGACATGCCCACTATGTGTATTCATTTTGCTTGACGATGCTTATTTGTTATAGAGTTTTTTCTTTATTTCTTTAATGTTTTAATTGGGGACAGAGGCAGATGGGATTAGAAATAATGATGACATAAAACAAGAGTGCCATTGAAACATTTTTTAATGCTAAGAAGAGAAAAGGAAGTTCAGAAGGGACCACAGACAAGCAAGACAGTTTTAAAAATAGCATGTAAGCATACTTTTTTTTTTTTTAAAAAATCAAGCAATATAAAAGGGTGATTCATCAGCTCATACAGAATAATCTTTTTGTGTTCTGCTATGTGTATGGAAATGCTCTTTTTTGATGTTTTAGTTTAGAATTTTAATTAAACTCCCCCCCCCCAAATATCCAGTAGTTAATCTGCCAAAGCACACTCAAGACCTATATTTATACAATGACAAAGTACTCCTTAAAGAAATAAAGAACAGTTTAAGTTATCAGGAGGCATATTTAGTGCTCCTGGATGGGCAGTGCCAATATCATAAAAATTGTGATACTCCATAAATGAATGTACAAATGTATTGTTATACCGGTTAAATTGCCAATGAAATACTCTATACTCAAAATAATAACACAATTCATTCAGAGGAACAGAAGATATGATCTCTCAAGGAAAGTGATGAGTAGAAGTAAGCATGATGGGGGGATACTACTTCCAGACCTATAAAGAAGTATAATAATCAAATTTATTTGGTAATGGTCCCCTCCCTAATGTACTCACTATCCCATTCACCATGACAGTTTTTTCTAACCTTTTCATTTGTCCTCATACCTTTCATAGTTCCCCCTCCTTCTCCCCTCTCAGTTGAGAACCTTGCCTCATATTTAAAAATTGAGGCTATTCACTAAGAATTCCCTCTTCTCTCCTCTTTATGTCAAATCACTCAGATGTCTTCTGCTACCATCTCTTCCTTCACCTCATCTGACATGAAGAAGTGGCCCTTCTCCTTGCCAAAGGAAACCCCTCTCTATCCACAAGTGACCCCATTCCTTCCCATCTTCTCCAGCAGGTTTTCTCCTCTATCATCTGCACTCTCACTGATCTTTGACCTTTCCCTGTCTATTTGCTACTTCCCTACAGGTTACAAACGTGCCCATCTCTCACTAATCTTCAAAAAACCCTCAATTGGTCCATCCATCCCAAGTAGTTCTTGTCCTCTATCTCTCCTCCTTTTCATGGCTAAGCTCCTTGAGAAGGCTCTCTTCAGTTGATGCCTCCACTTCCTTTCCTCTCACTTCCTCCTTAACTCTCTACAATGTGGCTTCAGATCTTATCTTTTTAATGAAACTGCTCTCTCCAAAGTTAATAATGATCTCTTAATTGCCAAATTTAATGGCCTTTTCTCAATCCTCATCTTTCTTGACCTCTCTGTAGCCATTTACATGATCAGTCACCCTCTTTCTCCTCGATTTTCTTTTCTGTCTAGGTTTTTGTGATGCCACTCTCTTCTGATTCTCCTTGTACTATCTGACCACTCCTTTTACCCATTTGACTACTTCTCAGTCCCCTTTGTTGGATTTTATTCAGCTTGTACCTACTAACAATGGGTGTTCCACAGGGCTCTGTCATTGGCCCTCTTCTCTTTTCCCTCTATATTATTTTGTTTTGTGGTTTCATCAATTTTCATGTATTCAATTGTCTTCTTTATGCAGATGACTTTAAAATCTTATTATCCAGCCCTAAGATCTCTCCTGACCTCATGTCTTGTACCTCCAACTGCCTATTAGACATCTTAAACTCAACATGTCCAAAACTGAACTCATTATCTTTCTACCCAATCCCTTTCCTCTTGTTAACTTTTCTATTGCTACTGGGGATACTTCTCATTCTCCCAGTCACCTAGGTTTACAACCCAGTGTCATCCTCAACTCCTTGCCCTCTCTCACTGCTCATATCTAATCTGTTACCAAGGCCAGTTGATTTTACCTTCCTAACATCACTCAGGTATATCCCTTTCTCTCTCCTGACTCTGCCACCACCATGATGCACATCCTCATTGCCTCATACCTGGACTATTTTAATAACCTGCTGGTTGGTCTCCCTACCACAAGTTTCTCCCCACTCTAATCCATCCTCCAGTCAGCTGATAAAATGATCATCCTAAAAGCAAGATCTGACCACATCAAACCCCCACTCAATAAACTCCAGTGGCTCCTTATCACTTCTGGGATCAAATACAAAACTTCAATCATTCAAAACCCTTCATAACTTGACCCCTCAGATTTTCATTCTTCCTACCCCCTACATTCCCCTCCTCCCAAACACACTCTGTGATCTTTTGTCACTGGCCTCTTTGCTGTTCCTTGCACAAGAGACTCCATCTCCCAACCCTGAGCACTTTCACTCAATGTCCCCCATACTGGAGCTCTCTCCCTCTTCCTCACACCACCTCATGGCTTCCCTGGCTTTCTGCAAGTCCCAATTAAAATCCTTCCTCTTATAGGGAGCCTGTTCTGATCCCCCTTAATGCTAGTGCTTTGCCTATCTTGTTTGTGCATAGTCATTTGCATGTTGTCTCCCCCATTAGATTGTGAGCTCCTTGAGAGCAGGGACTGTCTTTTGCCTTTCTTTGTATCTCTGGTGCTTAGCACAATGCCTGGCACATAGTAAACAATAGCTGTTTAATGACTGGCTGACTACCCTACTTCAGATCTCAGGCAGAGATCACTGCAATAATTTCCTACTTAGCTTCTCTTCTTTCAATCTCTCTCCTTTCTAATCCATCTATTCCATAGCACCAAGTTAATTTTTCTCAAACACAAATGAGACCACATAACTTTCCAGCTCAAGAATTCTTAATCACTCTTATCCCTCTAGGATAAAATAATAAAAAAAAATTCCACCTGGCATTTAAGTCCTTCACTAATTTGCCTCCCACTTACCCTTCTGTTTTTATTTCCTATTGCTAGCTTTGGTGTACTTTCCATTACAATAAAACTGATATGATGGTTGCTGTACCAGGACAGAAATGCAGACAGAAATACATACTGTTTGTAGAGAATATGCACCATTTCTATGTCTCCTGCCTCAGTACCTTGGCACAAATGGCCCTCTCCATGTAAAATGGGTTGTTTCCTCTTGGAATCTCTAGGTCCTTTTAAGACACAGCTCAAGTTTTGTATCCTATAGCAGGTCTTTCCTTAGCTCAGTCGTCTACAGATTCACCCTCTTGAAAATACTCTCTATTATTATAAACATATTTTGAATTTAGCTATCTGTGAAACCTGAAGACAGGCCCCATTCAATTTTTGCTTTTGCAACCCCAGTCCCCTCATTCAGTGCCTTGCTTCAGGAAAAAAAAAGTCTTTTGAATTAAATTGGTTCCTTTGCAAAAGAACACAGATCAATTAGTCTTTAAAATCTGTATCTAGGCAATTTTCTGGAACTTTTAAAATTAAAAATGACACATTGGTCACTTAGAAGCTGATGTCAGTACTTTTTTCCACAATATCAAGGTTGTCCATTTTCTCGTTTTCCTAGCATCCCAGATTTGCCTTGTCCTCCCTCTCTTCAGCTTTGCCCTGGTCCCATGGTCCTGACCTTAAAGAAGAGACTAAGTTTTCCATCTTCTTGAAGAGATAGATTATCTTTCTATCCCAGCTTCCTTAGGACAGACTCTTCTGTTCCAGAAGGAAGTACATTCTCAGAAAACCAGGGTTCTTTCTGGCCCCACCCCAGGTCCTCCTCTGAGTCATTGTACTCACCAAGGATCAATAGCAATGCCCACAGCAGCATGAGGGGTAGTAGGAGGGAGATTCTCCAAGCAATAGAAAATGGCAACTTGAAGATCAAAATTAGTGAGTTTCCAACATGCTCTTCAAAACAGAGCTGGTGAAATTAGAAAAAGAGAAGTCAAAGAGACCTCCCTCTGCTATTAACCAACATTTCCTCCCCTGTAGACACTGAAAAATCACAAGACATTCTCTTTAGTAGAACAGCTGCAGTAGACATTTCGTCCTCCCCTAACCTGCCTTGGCCTGTAACAATCATTAACTTTTTCATCTGCTACACCCCAACAGAACAGGTTTCTTCAGGTCCAGTTTCCCAGGAGAAATTGCCTCAACTTACTCTTCCTGATTTCAGGGAGAATGTCAGACTGCGATCCTTTTTGAATCTCAACTATATCTGCTTTGCATCTTTCATGGGGCATCTCCTTCCACTATTTTGAGACACATAGTGTTTCCTTCCTCATTTATAGTCATCCCTGTGAAAATCTGATCGCTCACTTGTGTAATGACTAAAAAGTTCACAAGAGGGGCAGCTGGGTGGCACAGTGAATAGAGCACTGGCCCCGAAGTCAGGAGGACCGGAGTTCAAATCTGGCCTCAGACCAAACACTTGATGCTTACTAGCTGTGTGATCCTGGGCAAGCCACTTAACCCCAATTGCCTTAAAAAAATTAAAAAAAAAAGTTCATGAGACATAGTTTCTGGGTAATTTAATCATTTTATCAATAAGTCCAGGAAGTTATTAGGATGGTCAATTTGGCCATCTCTCTTAGACCAAAGACCCCTCATGGCACTATGATCTTCAAAGAGGAGGTGTTCCCAGGAGGTTCATACTCAGCTCTGATTGGTTAAGCAAATGAGAGGTGGGCTGTCTTGGGGTATGTGACTTAGGATACTCAAAACTTTTTCAAAGAGACATTTCCTTATCACCTGTCTTGATAATAGGGAGAATCAACATTTTCCCAGGACCTGTCTGAGCAAAAACAATGAGTAGGAATATACCCATTAGCCCAAACCTAGAATTTATTTTATTGTCTGATTAAATCTTGGCCTGGGCAAATCATTAAGAGAGATTTCCCACACTGGTTGGTTTCTGGATGAGGAAGGAGAAAAGGGGAAAATTTTTTCTCCTAATATAATAATTAGTTATTAAATATAAAAGAGAAATATTCTTTTCTCACACTTGAGGGTCACAGTATAATGGGTCTCTCATTCTGATGTCAGGTCAATGAGTTTTCATTTTCATCCTTTTTCTCTTTCTCCTTGTCTCCTCTAACACTCCAGTTAGTCACCTAACCATCACCCTCCTGATGTCATTGGTCTTCTTCGAGAACAAAGGACAAACAACAATCTGTGAGTCATAGTAGCTGCCCCCCTGGGGACCCAACCAGCCAGTCCCAGTTGGGCAATGCTGCTATTTTCTCCTCCTTCATCTCTTCCTCTGCTCCTCCTCCTTTTTCTCTTCTCCCTCTATCTATATGGGGGAGTCATACCCTTATATGTGGATCCTCTGTCTAAAGGAATATAAATTTTAATCATTTATACTTTGCAAAGTATCTTGGCTTTTGGGGGCAAGATTTTTTTTCCTTTCCTATTTTATTCCTTCTTGAGAGTTTGAAATTTTCTGACCTACTCCACCATCTTCCCAGAATCCTCTCCTCATGTAGTTTTCATTTATGATTTCTTGAAATATAGCTCTGGAAAACCAGGCTTTGATAAAGTCCATTGGGATTCAAATGGAGCTACTTGACTATGCCTTTAAACTCAGATCACTCTGGCTCTCATTGAATGACAAATAATAGGTCCTAGTCCAAGCTTCACTTCCTCATTGTTTGGGTTTTGATGACTCAGTGAGTTTAAATAGCAATTGTTTCAGTTCTGGCCAGAAACTCTGAGGGTCTTACTCTCCCAGATTGATTTTTTTGTGAAGGCCAATTAGTCCATCTTTCACCTTCATTCTTACCTAGCCTTTAATTATTGAATGGCTGTTGCCTCAGACAAACTGAGACCTGGGAAAGACCTTAGCTTAAAAAGGCCAAGTTCTCCCACTGCATCTTGGGCCATCACCAATCGTCCTGACTTCCATCTGGCCACTGGATTCTGATGACTCTAGAGGCAAGAGTGAGGCTGATGAGTTTGCACAGCTCTGTCTTACTCCAATCCCATTCACTTGTAAGTCAAGACATCACCCTCCTCATGTCATTGGTCTTCTTCAAGAACGAAAGATGAACAACAATCTGCTGTGCCACTGTTATGGAGAATAATTAGCCAGATTCCCTGTCCATAGGGATCCTACAGTCTAAGAAAGGCACACTATTAAGTGTACATATGTCTAAGGCTAAAGGAGAAGAAAACATTTAGCTAATACGTAAACAAGCAAAATAAAAGTATTTAAGTGACATGCTTCCAAAGCAGATGTATATTTGAGGCGAGGAGATAGGAAAGAGGCAATGGAGCTCCATGACCAAAGAAGTCAGAAGAATCTATGAGCTTTTTTCTTCCAATCAATACAAGAAGGTGTCTTGAAGAAGACAGGATTTCAGAAGCTTTGAAAGTTAAGAGAGGTTCTGGCTTACCAGGCTAAGGAATGTGTTTTATGTATATAGGATAGATAGTGAGGATGTTTAGGATAGGGAGGAAAACAAGATATGAACAGGGAACCATATTTTGGCCTCCTATATATCCCCTCTAAGGCAATGGCATGCCTATGTGAGGTGTGACCCTTCAGGAGGACTACCACAATATTACTCTTCTCATAGGACGTGTGGGCACTGACTCATTTTTCTATGTTGGCTCACTTGTTCCAATTTTCCCTCACCCTGCCATGTCTAGATTCCCAGTGATAGAACTGTTGTTTTTGAGTCATTTTCAGTTGTGTCTAACTCTTAATGACTGACCCCACTTTCTTGGCAAAGATACTGGAAATCGTCGTTTCCTTCTCCAGCTCATTTTACAGATGAGAAAACTGCAGCAAACAGGGTTAAGTGACTAGCCCAGGTCACACAGATAGTAAGTGTCTGAGGCTAGATTTGAACTCAGGTCTTTCTGACTCCAGGCCTGACACTCTATCCACTGCCACCTAGCTGCCTTAGATTCGCAGTAGTAGAATACCGCCATACAATCACACTCAAACTCTCTGGCTCTTGGTGGTATTCCTGTTACATTCCACCTATTCACCATTATAGTTCTTATGTTCTTGTCCATACATGTCTGTTTACACATTCATAATACATCCACACAAATGCATGGGATAATAATGATGGTGGTGGTAATAATCATAATAGTTAACATTGACATAGCCCTTTAAAGATTGCAATGCTTCCCATAGGTATCTTATTTGATAAAAACAACCCTGTGAGTTAGGTGTTATTACTACCCCCATTTTACATATAAGGAAACTAAGGCAAAGAAAGGTTAAGTGACTTGCCCAGGGTCCCACAGCTGGTAAGTATCTGAGGCTTGCTTTGAACTCATTTCTTCCTGACTCTAATACTCTATGCCACAAATATCAGAGGACAGCACCTTGACTCCCTCACATGAATAACTCGCACCTAATTCTGTCCCAAACTGGTAGGAGAGACAAGATACAAGGCAGAGATTGGTGGTGGAGACCGAACTGTGACAAAGTGGACCCAGGGGATCAGGACTGATTTTGTTATAACAGCAGAATGTCCCCAAGAGGCTGAGTTTGTTCTGAAGCTCAAGTCTCCAGGGCAACAGATAACGATGCTGATGTTCATGTCTGATAGAAAGGACCATCTTCAGCAGAAACTATGTGGGAGCTCAGCAACCAGCCCATGGGAGCAGGCAAAGTAGTGAGACTGCAGCCCTCAGCCAAAAGGTGTAACAGAGATAGATTTCAGCCAGAACACCATGGGAATCCATTGGTCAGGGGAATGACATTACCCAGAGAACCTAAGAAGTCTAGAAAAGGGTAACCTTCAACCTTGTTCACTGATTAAACACTATGAAAGAGATAAGAGTCAGAAATTAACCAGAGTGGCAATCCCTAAGCCCTTTCAAATTCCAGTCTTTTTAACATTTCCTTAGTTTTCCATATAAGTAGTATTATCCTTCTTTCAGTCTCCTCCCTTCCCTTGGCCTAAAAGAAAGGTCTGGGATCATGACTCCCCTGTTTAGCTTTTAAGCCCTTCACAATCTGCCCCCAACCTCTTTCCAGTCTCACTATATGTTTCTTTCCTTCCCATACTCTATCATCCAGGCAAACTGACTTCTTTGTGACACATGACGTTACCTTTCTCGATTCTGAGCCTTTACCCAGTGTTTGTCCCCCATGCCTAGAATGTACTCCCTCCTTAACTGCAACTTATAAAAACCTTCTCTTTCTTTAATATGCAATCTGAGCAATGCCTTTTGCATGAAACTATATCTGATTTCCCCAAGTGCTAGTTCCTTCCTTCTCTAACTACCTTAAAAAAACTACCTTATGTTTATGTAATCCAACTTCCAAAGCGCTTTGATGTGAGACTCTCTCCTCACTAGTAGAGATCACTGCCCTGTGCTTGGGTGAGAGGTTGGATGGAGTTTGTGTGAGCAAAGAAGAGGAGAGATTTGGTCTCTTCAAGCTCTGTGAATCTCTATAGCTTTCTTTGGGTTCTTCAGGCTTTCTGAGCTTTGAGCACTTGTGGCTTCCAGCTTCCAGAAAGAAGATGGACAATGCCAACCCCACTTCAGGTTGCTGGAGAAAAAGACTCTGGGAAGACAAGAGGGGAGCTGGAGGTCTCCATCTTGTCTCTCTTCCCATGATTTGTGACTCAGACACACTCAGATGGTCTATGGATGTCTCAGTACCTTTCAGGAAGTATCTCTGTACCCTGGGAATCCTTGTAGCTAATGTGCTAGGCAGGAAAGGTATTTTCTTTGCATTCAGTCCTCTCTCCTCAGCTAAGTTGGTTGGTGGTTGTCATTGTAGAAACCCTCTGGAGACCCAACCTACCAATTCAAGCAGAAATAGGAGAAAGAGTTATGTGCTCCAGCACGTAGTAGTAGTAGAGAACATGGGTAGAAGGAAATTTGGGCTATAGTTTTTGAGGGAGTCCTACACTATGGGGCTGATGGTTATAGCCTTCTTGTGCCTGCACAGGTGGGGATGAGGCTAGGGCTGTTGTAATGAATTTAACCCACTTTATCAGTGATGCCCTGCCTCCAATGTCTGATGGTGGGAGTATCCACGGATGGGGATTGGGGTCCTTGATGACAGGAGTTTCTGACAAAGAAGTTGTCCCCATCAATTCCAGTAGCTGGTAACTGATAAAATGTTGGATTCAAAGTCAGGAAAACCTCAATTTGCTTACCTATAAAATGGATAATTATACCATTAGTACCTATGTTAATACAGCATTGTGAGGTCCAATAGAGATAATCTAATAAGAATATTTTGTGAACTTTAAAATGCC